GAAAATTAAGAACCAGAAAGGGAAGAATAAATGTTTACCCCTCGAATCCAACCAGATCATCAAAGCTTAGCCATGGTGTCATGATGTATCGGTTTTCCTGAAAGATGGAATATATCCCGAAGTTGCCTTAAGAGAGATACAGACGCCCTAAGAAAATTCTCAATCAATTTCCTTATCAAAGATGACATCCTCTACAAGAAGTCTTTCGAAGGAATTGTCTTAAGATGTGTTGACCATCTAGAAGTAGATATGGTGCTCAAAGAACTACACGAAGAAGGAGGACATGCAAGGGCAGCACTCCTAGCTTAGAAAGTCAGAAGACAAGGAAACTACTGGGCTACCATGGCTTAATATTATTGGAAATATGTGAAGAGATTTTCTAAGTGTCGTCTATGGAAATCGCATATACGTTCCTTCTATGCCACTCAATTCAACACCTCCAGTCTAGCCATTTTCCATGTGGGCCTAAACATAATCGGACTGATAACGCCAAGAGCTTCTGATGGACATAGGTTTATCCTCACTGCTACTGAATATTTCACAAATTGGGTCGAGGCTGCCTCATTCACCAAGATAGAAGTACAACATGTGGCCGGATTCATTACAAACAACATCATCCATAAATTTGGAATCCCCGAAATGATCATCACTGATAATGGGATTAACTTCAAGAATGAAAAAGCAATAAAGATGCGTAAAAGATTTAGAATAGAGCACAAATTTTCTTCCCCCTATTATCCCCAAGGTATTGGTCAAGCAAAAGCAACAAGCAAAGCCCTCCCGAATATCATCAATCAAACTATAGAAAGTGGTAAGGATTAGAATGAAAAATTGCAAGCTACACTCTGGGCCTATAGAACCATTGAAAAAACAGCCTCATGGATGACTCCCTACTCACTGGTTTATGGCATGGAGGCAGTACTTCCAATCGAAGAGGAAATATCATCTCCTAAGGTACTTTCTCACAAAGAATCAGACAACAAGCAACAGGTTGAAGCCGACTAGCCACTCTCGAAACCTTGGATGAGAGACGACTACGAGCAGTTAACAAAATGATATTTTATCATCACATAATTTTATGAGCATACTAAAAGAAGGTGATACCCCGAGAATTCAAAGTAGGGGATCTAGTTCTAAAGAAAATCTTTAATTCGACAATGAATCCTCATCCATTAGGAAAATTCAAGCATAATTGGGAAAGACCATATGTCGTAACCCACACTCATCTAGGCAATGGCTGCAAACTCCGGAACCTTGAAGGACGGGAATTGAATGATCTTATCAAATCTATGTACCTCAAGAAATATTACTCCTGAAAAGAAAATAAGAAAAAAAAGAAGAAACATAAGAAAATGAGCTTAGCCAACAAAGTAAGAGATTGAAGGACTAGGAAGTTGAGATTGATTTCGAATATGAAGTTCAAGGCTCGAGTGAAGCGATTAAAGGATGAAAGACTCTATACGAATTCGACAACCGTTGTCAAGGAAGTATCAGATACCAACCAGGGGAAAAACAATTTAAAGATAACCAAGACTAGGACCTCTCTACCACCTGGAAGAAGGAAGGGTCCCTAGCGGCGCTAAAAAAAAAAAAAAAGGAATCCTATGGGCTAAAAATCAGAAAAGAACCTCGAGCGTTGGAAAAAATTCCAATGGGTTGAACACCTGAAAGGGGCTCCCGAGCAGTAAAAAAAGGAATTTCTCGATCTTTTTCGTCTCTTCTCCATAATATCTAGAAATTCTTCTCTTACTAAGTCAAAATGGTATCAAAAAGCAACGTAGCGTAAAGGCATCAGTCCAAGTAAATCTGAAGAGCCTCGACTATCTGAAATTCAAAGGGTTAGATAAGTAGAGGAACAAAATTGGAAATCAAGGGGGATTTGAACACTTAGGGGCAATATCTGACATTATCCAAAACAACAACTTGCTCAAAAACTTTAAGAAAAACTCTCCCTTGAGTTAAGCCACAAAGAGCCAAGATTGAAAGATGAAAAGTACTCGATGATTCCTTGTCCTAAAGATCCCAAGCAAACGCTTAACAAACTCATACTCCAAAAAAAAAAAAATATTCCCAGAAAAATGAAGAAAAAGAAGAGGGTTAATGGGTCCCGCACCCACTGAAGAAAAAAAAAAAAAAAGTGAAAAAGAAGAAGAGACTGACAAAAAACAAGCGCATAAAAAAAATTGTTTCAAGACCTAGGAAGAAAAAATGAAAAATGAAAGTCAAATGATTCGACACTCAGAAGAGAGTGAAGTAAGTTTCGAAATAAGCTCGGAGAAGTCAGAGCAAGCCCTCCACTGTGACCAGCACATCAAAGGTCCTCATACACCTCTTTCATGAATCATCTTCGAAGTCAAAGAACTCCAAGGTGATGTGAGCTGAAATGGCTCACCAATCCAATTGAATACGTCTATCTTGTGAGAGTTTAAAAACAGAAGGGAAATCTCAATCAAACATCAAACTCATGCGACGTAAAAGAACCGGGATAGGAAGAAGTCCAACCCGTACAACGTAAAGCAGCTGGAAAAATGACATTCAAAATGTCAAACTCGTGCGACATAAAAAAGCCAAGACAGGAAGACGTCTACCCCATTTGATGACAAAAAGGCAAGGCATCCAATCTCAAATCATCGTCAAACCCGTGTGACGCAAAAGAGTCAGGGCAGGTATAAGAACACCCATCACTGCATGACGTAAAACTACTCAAAGGGCTTTATGGTTGCATGAGCCTAAACTGCTGACCAAACCTATTTTTCGAAATTCTCTCCTATCTTCAAATTTTTCCCTGTGTTTCGTGAAGTTTTCAAAATCACCCGAAACTATGTATTTGTTTCAAAATCCTACCAATCTTCAAAATGTTTTAAAATGTTTTCAAAACAAAGGAGTTTCATGGAGGCTTGGATATAATCTTCCGCCGCCTCCAAATCCCGGATTATCATGCTTACGAGCCCGTAGGAAAACAAAAACCAAGACATAGATTCCCAAACCCAAAAGCCTCAACCTATGAACCCTAAAAATCAAAATTGAAGGCCAAGAAGAAGTTCAATTAGCCAAGAATTCATCATCTTATCATTTCTTCTAAATCAAACTCCCATTCCATTGGAGAACCAAACCAAAAAAGAAAAATCTAAAGTCAAAAATGACTATACTGCCAGCTTCCCATGTAGTATTGGGGTAATAAAGAGTGTCACCCGCTCAAAGATAGCATCATTCCTATTGATTGTCACTTCGGATCCCTATTGTCAAAGTCCTCTCAACCGTACTGACTCAAATGTAGCAATGTCAATTTGATGTTTTACGGATCAAAAACATCCATCGACATACTGCCTACCCAAATGGTACTGGTCATTTAAAAGATCAATCCCTCGAAAAAAAAGTTTCATTCCCATCATGTCTCAGGTATTTACTTTTTTGTCATTAACCTGGTGCCCCAGGTGAATGCCAAAGAGGGGCAACTATAGATACCCTCAAATTTCTAGCTAAGGGAATTCCTAAAATTCTCAATTCCCAGTCCAAAAGACTACAAAAAGTTTAGTAGACCATAGATAATCTAAACCCAATAGAATTATCCAAAAAACTTGTCACAATACCCTCACATACTTAAAAACCCATAAGCCTTGTCAACCCAAAAAACTAGCCCAAATATTGATCGAACATCAAAAACCTAAAATCAAGACCTTGTAAACCTCTCCAAAATATATTAAATTTAACCAAATTTGGTTTCAAAATGTAGAGAATAGCACAAGCTTTCCAACAGTCCAAAAATCGCCTAAATTGGACTTGCGGTTAGAAAGTTAATGCCCAAGGAAATTGTTCCAAAAAATGACAATTTGTCCCTACACGACCTTGCAAATATCATGCCATGCTACGGCCCAACGGGCCTAAATGCATCTTGATGATGCAATATAACACGTTTTAAATTGGGTAAATCCAAAAAACACCCAAAAAAAAAACAAAAGTCCCCACTTGAAGCCTATAATTGCCCATTTCCAAAACCCAAAAAAGAGATGAGAAAAAGATCATAAATTCCATAGAAATCCTTAGAAAATAAGACATAATTTTTAAAATTAGGGAAAATACCCGAAAATAGGAAAACACCTTAGCAATTCCTAAAAAATTAGATAAAAATCGCAAATATTCCCAAAAAAATCATAGAAAATCTTAAAATTCGGATTTTACCTTAAAAAGACCCAAAATCATTAAAAATCTAAAGAAAACTTCATCCAAATCCTAGAAAAACCTCGATAGACCCTACCTAAGATTTCCAAACTTTTCACCTTGCCTTAGAACCTTAGATCTAGGTCAAAAAAACTTTAGATCTACCAATTTCAGCAAACAGAAAACATCCAAAAGGGAATTGTTGCCCAAATCAAAAGAAGAGCCTAATCCAAGATCGAAATTCCGAGTTTGAGATCCCTAAAGCTAAATTATTTTTTTCATAATTTAACTCAATTTTGCTAAAATTTGAATATATCTCCCCCAAAATTAATGCAAATCGAAGTGCAAACACATGCCCACACTTACACTGTAGGATCGAGTAATTTTTTTCTCAAGTTAAGTTTGAACTACGGGAATGGTACATTCAGGAAAAAAATAATACTAATTGGGACGGCAAGCATGGTACCCTATTCGTTATGGTAACCGCTACCCGACCACCTGTACCTAAATCACATTCTCTAGGGTCATCTATTAGGTGAATACCACATGTTCACCCCTTAACTCTCCTTCAGTAACGTGCCTTTGGATTATATTGAAGGAAACAGAAAATATGTGAGGGAGAGACGGTGCTAATCGATTCATATGCCTATAGCATACCACTGTATGTCCCTTATAACTGCCGGTGAAGGTCATCAGTCAAAGAAGTACTATATCGACCCACTATCAGGATAGATTTCCCCAGGTGTGCAGTTTCCTAATTTAATTGTGTTGCCAAACGTAGTGCAATGATAGGCATTGAGGCACCTCCGCTTCCCCACTCATGGAACATTAAACCTGGATGGTGAGAGAGAGATTATTTCATCCATTCATTCCACAAGCAGTTCAAATATCCAAAGCCACTTGTCCCACAGTCCCAAAAAAAATCGAGAGTCCAAGCAAGCTGAAGAACCCGACCCAACAACCTCAGGAATGGCACAAGAATTCTCGCTTGTATCAGTCTCCAACAATGTCCTCTTCATCCCTCTACAACAGCCACCAACTTTCAAAAGATAAAATGTCTTAAATTACAAAACCAGCCTACTCTCAATATTCTTCTGAGAATCTAAATTTCACATCACGTAAATCCATGACTTACTGCACACCTCTCGCCGTGCCCCAATATTTAGCCTTCTTAGAAAAAGACACCTGTGAAATGAGAACTTTGCAAGAAGACAATTCTCCAACAATCATAGACAAAAAGCTCATCTTATCGGAACACTTAGCCAAGTAAGTCCCTGAAGAGGTTAGGGTTCAGACCAGATGGAGTCACACCTACCTGCCTCGCAACCGCATCTTTCTCTAATGAATCTTGAGGAGACGGGCCCTTCTTCGCAGTGGATCCCACAGATGAGGACCCTACACGAGGACTCCTAGATTGTACACTTGGATTACCAGCTACAAAGGACCCAGCAAACGAGCTTAGCTGACCAACACCAGGTGTATCCTCATAGAGGGCCATGAGGTTTACCGATTGGCTTGAGGCACTGGCTCCTGGGTTAGACTCCAAAGAAACTTCTTGTGGAGGCACGCCCAAAAGTCCCTCTAGTTGCATAAAAGGGTCCACTACTGCACTACTCGGAGGAGCATTAGACTGTGTCGAATCGCCGAGGTCAAGCAGGTCAGGAGGAGGAGGTTGTTGCACAGGTGTTGGAGCCTTCTCGGAAGTGGGGGCTTGGGGCTTTTCCACTCTTGCAGGGCTCGATTTCATAGCCTTTGAACCCTGTGTTTTCTTCTCACTCTTTGATGATGAGGCCCCAAATAGAGAAGCTGCGAGCCTTTGTTTTTCAGCAGAAACCTCGTGCTGCTGCTTCCTTGAATCATAAGAGATGGCCTCTTTAATCTCTGAATGTGTGATGCCATTTGCTGTTTTAGGATTCATGGTCTGAGAAGTGGAGGGTGTGGATTGAGATGAATAGCTTGGTCTTCCCCATTTCTTTTGAACACCTTCTAATTTGAGTTTTAGTCCAAGTTCAGTTGATGAAGAATCAGTGATGGGTTGAGGCTGCATAGGTTGGGGGGTTTCATATGGTTGATATGATTCGGGCACTGGAACAAGGTCTGAAGAAGGTAAGGGCAAGCTTGGTGCCGCCCGTGTAGGGAGTGAGGGTTTTGGAAGCTCGTAGGCCTCGAATCTTAGGGAATGAGAGGAGGCCTCAGTTTGGTCTTGGTTACGGAAGGTGGTAACACTTATTGATCCGGTGCGCTCGGATTCCGGAATGTAAGGCGTTGCTCCTTTCTCCAGGGCTTGTTGCACAAAGCTGTTTAAGAATGAAACATTTTTATCCACCTGTAGGAAGACATCAATAAATAATTAGCACAATAGAAAGAAAATAGCCCCGGGTTTGAGCTGGGTAAGCAATGCAACAGAGATAAGGAAGAACTAGATAGACGAGGTTGCTCAATTTGACAAATGAATATTATAAAAAGATGAAAATGAAGACAACCAGAAAAGTCAAAGAATGAGTCAAGTTCTGCTTGTGGAAGGGAGCTATCCACTATGAGTACCATAGCTAACATGGCTAAAAAGAGAAATAGTATAGGTGCTTGTGTGTATGTGATTGTGAATGCAGGTGTCATGGTCCTATTAATGGTCCTTTTCAAATATGAGAGAGGTTTCAATATTTATCAGATTTAGGGTTAGTTTCTAATATGATCAGGATGAGTTTTACGTGGGACAGAGAAATATGTGGGGTAAGAATTAGTAGCAACCAGAACTAAGAATATGGAAAATACCATGGTCTTGAGAGCAGAAAGTGCTTTGTTTCAGCTTCATATGTGGTAACGCAACACACACAATAAACTTTGGCACAGAGAAGCAAGTAATCATGATGTTAAACAATCATGATCATTTTCATTAAATGATTCTCTTCAACATGAAAATGCATTATAAGTCTTTACCTCAATATCTTCACAGCTTGCATCTGATGGCATTATACACTCAACAGCATGACAATCCAAACCCAAGAGTGCCTGCAGTTCATATGCACGTTGCTGCAAGTCTGTTGAATGTGATGCTGACAGTTCATCAATTAGAGCTTGACACTGCAAAAGGGAATTGCTATTACAAATTAAAAGGGAAACAAATACTAGAAGTTCACCAGCAAGGAAAAAGAATTCTCCGGTTAAACTACATAAATAGGGTGGACAAAATCTTGCCCAAAGCAGGAGAAACTGTACCTCTGGCAACAATTCAACTTTCCTTCCAGCTGCAATTTCAAATGCACATATCTTCATGATAGCCGTAACAGCATAACCCTTCAAGAAAAATATACTTTTACTAAATTTGGCCAAAGGTAGAGCAGAACAAGTATACCAAAAAGGCAAGACAACTTAAATCGACAAAAGTATAATCCACCCCGTCCACATATACAGATCAACACACATAAAACAGAGACCATATAAGCTAAGATGAAGTTATTTTAACATTTTTTTTTTAAGTACCTAAGTTCACAATATGAAAACATTTTTTTAAGTACCTAAGTTCACAATATGAAAACATTTTATTATTTAACAGCCATTGATAAACTATTATTTAAAAGTCATTGATAAACTAGACGCCGCCACATTCTGTGTAGACAGGTGCACAGAAGGCTCAATTTAAGCCAAGCTAGTTGAACTTGTGTTATTTATAATCCAACCCTAAATATATCTCACGACATATACAGTTTGTTGTAACGAGCAACTGATATTCTGCCAATATTGGCAGAGAACACAGAACTACGTATCCAGATGCTAGCAGCAAGTGTCCTTGTCATAGATAGAAAAGAAGAATACTATTGCATGTAACCATATCAAGCTTAAATTAAGAAAATGACTAACAAAGGAAAAGAACAGTGAAGAGATGGTAACCCACAAAATGTTGTACATGTAACTTTGCATGGGTGCAAGTAACTTTGTATGTATGAAGGGGACATTTTATCCCCTATTTGTATGCTATAACTGTGAAGATTCCTGAAAGTAAATTTCATTTGCTAGTTTCTATTTTAGTATTGTATGAAGTAAATTCCCTTGTATTCATTTAGCCATCTGCTTTTGTCCATCAAATTGCTTCCCACAGGCACTAGGAAACCTTTTTATGTCTAACTTTGCCATTCCAATAATTTTACAGCACAAAAATACATTTCATGTAAGTACAATTGGTTTTCTTCATGTCAGTAAATACTTCCATTACTTGTTTTCATGAAAGTTAGCATCCTAGCAATATATATATTTCTCCAGAGGTCAATTAATCAACCACGTCAATGAATAAAGAAGACTTACTATAACAAAAAGGGGTAAGTAACCAACTAGAATCATTCATTTGCATGATCAAATCATCTCCACGACTTTGTCTTTTTCTTTAGCGATATATTGACCAAAAAAAACTATATACATAGAAGAACTTCTCCCACCAGTTCTACCAGCAAGGCAGTGTCCTTGGGACCCATTATAGCCAAGAAAGTGGCCAGGAGTAGTCATCTACTAGAGGTCGTTTCATGTGGCTCTATGTGGAGCTGGCCTTGGCCGACCGAGGCCGTTGGATTTTGACAACTCGAATTCTCAAAACTTAGATACAGGAGACCAGTTCTTACATGACTTCCAAAAGGGTGAATATACACAATTCAATTTTCTTTGTTATAGCAACAAAATTATTTAACGGAAGTCAAACAAAAATTGAGTTCTAAAAGGATAGATCCCATAGTGGCAAAAATATTTGAAAACCCATATTGTTCCAGATTACATCCATTTGTCAATCTGGCCATCAGTGAGATACATTAGTATAATCCATAAGTTTACAAAGTAAAATCTACAATATTGGTCTTTGCTTTATAAGGAGATTTCCACAAGGGATTGAATAAGACCTTGAAGCCACCTTAAGTTTTGGAACAGGACAACTTCGTAGATGTAGAATGTCAAAATTAGATGCAACTACAGAGCATATCAAATGCACAAGTCATCAAAATTCTCAACATATGAACCAACCATTACAAGTAGGTATGAAGACAGACATGTAACCAAATGCAATCAATTGAAATTTATATTACCTTAACAGTGTCATCATTTGAGTGAGCTTCTGCCACATCACATAGCTTTCCCATTATATATGAAGCAGAATATTTCCCATCTGCTGTTGCATACTCCCCAAGAACCCAACAAATGACCTGTAATACAAGTACAGCATATCAAACATAAGGTAAAAGGAAAACAAAAAAAAACTCTGTTGTGAGCATAATTTTCAAGCATGAAGAAAACATTTGTAAGAACAAAACCTAAAAAAGAGGAAGTCATGTACTTGCAGAAACACTGAAGGAAGCTTAGGTTCTCCAATGATACGTAAATATGAATCTACCTGCAGAGGCAAATCCATAAAACAAATCAGTATAACAATGACCATCAGAAAAGCATTACACAAAATTGACAATCAGCAAAATATTACATTGTTATTGAACGGAATAGCCGCGTAACTGAACAAAAAGTTCTTAATTAAAAAATCAGCGACAAACTGGTAATCAGATAGCACTCATATCAGCATAGAGGTTATCAAAACGATCCCTTTCATAGATGGCGTTAAACTAACCAAGTCAAATGAGAATCAGCATTTTCCAGTTGGCAAGTACAGAAAATCACCTACAGCACTCAAATCTCTCATCGCATTGTGATATAAATAAAGATTTGCATAACATATAGTAAGGCCATTGTCCTTGGACAGTTCCATCAATGTTAAACTGTGTACTAGTTTCGGTAGTTGCCTTCTAGCAAAGTATAAAATCACCTGCAACACTCAATTTTCTCATTACATGGTGAACTGAACATATTTTATGCATTAACGTATGGGTTGATGTCCTAGAAGGATTCCATTAAGATTAAGAATTCAGGAGAACAGCAATCTTTTTAAGACAACCCTGTAGTACTTCCCTTTCAAAATACATCCCACGTATAAAGCACCATGAATTGCATCAGATGCATGAAACCAAATCAAATATAGCACTAATTTCATGGCAGTGATTCCCACAAAGGACTATGCAGCAGTCACTCAGTTTATAGAATCTGTATTAAGTTTCTACTTCTCCTAAGCCACCATAATATGAGAAAAAAATTGGCTAACGAAGTGTCAAACAGTGGCTTGTCTCCGCTCTGGAAAGAAAGCACAATCATGATCAAATCCATATTTGCAAGAACTCGCTCTAATTTTTTTTTTTATGTCATTCTGAATTCAATGTAATGTGGAAATCAAATCACATAGAGGTTCATAATACTTGGATAAGAATCACTATGATAGCCTTTAAAACGAAAGGGCCAGTTTCAAACATCCAAAGCCTAAAATTTGGTGCTTTTATCACTAATGGAGAAAATATTTGAATGCAAGAAGTTCCATCTAAGCCAAGCAACTTAAGAATAAAAGGAACCATTCGTCGGAGATCTGAACTCACAATCGCTGTGATGCATTTGAAACGTTCATGGCAGCTAAGCTACTTTCTAATTAACATTGGAGAATCCTATCAGCACTCTTGGAAGACAATTTGGAAGAAATTCAGATTTGAAATGCATCAACATCCTAAGAACTCCATTATAGTAGCTTCTTGGATTCTATCTGTCTCACTAGTAGCTTTGACATAAACAAAAAACCAAGTCTGGAGTTCAAGGTTTATTTTTTTTCTTCTTTTTTCTTTTTTGTCTGGGGGGGAGAGAAAGAGTGACAATATGTACATTTATATAGGGTGTTTACACCAAAAACTCAGGTGTAAGGTATAAGGCAGCCCACGTGGCAGAACTCATGATACAATAATCATCAAAAAGTAAAAGGAAACCTGCTGTGTTTCTTTTTTGAGGAGTGATATTCACAGGCCTTACGTTTCATATCATGGTACTGAACTCTTACAGTAGACAAACCCCTGGTTCAATAGTTTTGAGCAACTCCAGGCAGGTCTCAAACCACTTTGAACTGATTTTTCAATAACCAAAGAATAAAATAGTAAAACTAACATAAGACCAAAGAACAAAGGAGTTCATCCCAGAAGAGAAGGCCAGAGTTTTGGAGGTTAGGCTGTGTGAAAATCAGGCTTAGGGTATTACAGGGATATGTGGATCTAATAAAATTTAGGTTGAGTTGTTCGGGTTGGTTAGATGGTTATTATGAGATTAGGATTATTAGAGTATGATCTGGGGAGGTATTGATGGAAAATATGTCATGCTACATCTGATTTGGTGGACAAGAGGAATAGCAAGTCAAGAAATAGGGTTATGGGTCAGAGAGTGTGAATAGAATATGGCATGATTAGATAGAGAGGTGAATGGAAAGACAGCATTGAAAGGTTGATAAATTATCGAGAAGAGGGTGCTAGGTTGGAGGTTGGCATGGGAATAAGAGAGGAAAAGGATGTGGACGAGGGCCGTGACATGTAGAAACGAGATGTGAGAGAGAAAACCTAACCAGGTATCGAAATTGGCACCATATAATGATCTAGGAAACTCAAGGAAACACCGAAAATCAGAAATAATTCAGGCCAAGCACAAGCAACAACTAGAAGAAACCTCGGGTTTCTTCTTCAATCCCAACTAACGTTTCAAAAGCCTAAGCTTTTCCCGCTTTCTTCAATCTTAAAATCACGTGCAATGACCCCTCTAGCCAAACACACCTCTTATAATATTTAATGTTCAAGGACTTTAAATGCCCATAAAATAAATAAAATGGACCCAAAGGTCCTAATTTATGTGACTTTCAAAATAAATGACCCTGGCATTCAATCAAATGCCTAGCAACTCCCCAACTGGTCCAAAAAAAAAAGTAATTAAAATAACCTTAAAATAACTAGAAAATTATCCCGAGCAACACTTGATCTTCATGTTCTTCTTGATGCCCCTCCTAAGGTTCACATCCCCCAAATATACGCAAGAATTAGGAGGAATCTGCTGCTCCCATTGAAGATACTCGCCATCAATGTTTCAAAATTAGCAGCCCGGAAATGAAAATGACTAGTTGCAAATAGGGGTGGCATGGGCTTGGTAGCCAAGCCCTAAAAAACTAGGGCCTGGGCCACAAAATGTGGCCCGCGGGCCAAGCTTGGGCCAAGCATAGACAGGTTTGGCCCTCCCCAGTTTTCTTTATCCTTTTTGCTCTTTTTTTCATTTATTTAACCTGGCTGGGCCTGGCCTTGATGGGGACAGGGCCAGCTGTCTGGCGTGGACAGCCCTCATGGGTATAGGGCTAGGCTAGGGTCAGGTTTGGCCCGGCCTAGGCTTGGCCCATTGCCAGCATCAGTCGCATACTAGCGGGCTCTCGAGGCGAGAGCGTATCTAGGCACTCAAGGTGCTTCCTAGACGCTAGCCTTAAGGTGGGCGCCGCGGTGGCACCTCGATGCAAGCTAGCCTGGGGTGAAAATAGGCCCTTGGCCAAGAGTATTTTCGGTATTTTTCCTTAAAAGGGGGGAAAAGTATTTTGGAGGGAATTCTAGTCCCCCAAAACCCCCTTTTGTGTGTTTTAGAAAGAGAAAAACTCCCCAAAAACTTAGATCTTGAGATGTTTCTGAGATAAAAAAAAAAGTCAACATTTTGATTCTTGCATAATCCAAACATATACTTCTCGATACTTTTTGGAGCTTATAGTGGTTGCAAAAGAGGACATTTCTTCGTTAATACAAAAATGAGGAACAAACTTGAGCAGAAGAGACTAAACGATTTTGTCTTCGTTCAATATAATCAAAAGCAAGAGGAGCGTTATCAAGAGCGCAATGTTAGGGAGGCCCTTGACGTTGGTAATGTAGATAATCCTAACGAGCGACTGGTTGATGCTAGGGATTATGAGGTATTCCCTAGAGAGAACTTTACCTGGGGCCAAGTTTGTGAGGCTTCTAGGACACCATTAGGTCTTTTGCGAACCATTCGATCTAAATTTCACACTCAAAGGAAGGGGAAGAGGTTGTTGAGAGTGAGAGAGAAGGAAGAAGCAGACTCAAATGACACAAGGGATGAAGGTGAATATGTAGAGGAAAAGAGTGACTTCGATGATGATGGCATGGCATCATCATCAAAGTCTATTCGGGGTGATGATGAAACTCAAATGTCATTTTGAATTCATCACATGTGAACAATGGACATAATGCTTTGAGTTTTGATGGTGTTTATCAGTTTATGCATTTTGAGTTTTGTTACCATTTTCTTTTATATTATATGTTTACCTTGTGTTTGAGTTCCATGAATCCCGAATCTTCATTGTGTTTGAGTTGCTAGTGTCTAATGTTGATGATGAGAAATGAAAAGAGATGTAACTTTGTATGTATTTGGGGCTGGTACACCTTAAAAAGCTATGGTATTTGAAATTCTAAGTTTCAATCCAATATACAAACACAAATTCAAATAGAAAAATTGCACAACAAAGTAACATACAAAAGCCCTGAAAATGACGTTCATAGGAGTTTTAGGATCATTCTAGTTTTTGGGTGCAAAAAATGCCTCTAGGAACTCCCTAGAGGGGCCTGAACCTCTTCACTCAGGCTAGGGCTGTCCAAGCTCCTGGGTGGCCAAGACCCTTGGGCGCCTAGGTGCCCTCATCTGTTTCTTTAAACAGTGGTCATCCTTTTGTCCACTTGATGCACTTGCGCATCATCATTCTCCTCGCATTGCGCACAACTCGCCCTCGAGTTAAAACTTTCATCTTCATCCATCTCTAGCCCATGATACTCAAACAAATCCACAATGTTAAAGATATCCAAAGTCTCTATATATAAAGGAAAAGCGACCTCGTAGGCATTGTTGCCCATCTTCTTCAAAAACTCTTGAATGGTCCTTCATTGCGGTCATTTAACTTGTTGTATTTTCCTACTAGAAGCATTTACTTCATGAGGTGCACCGTCACCCAATCTCCTTCATTAAAACATCACCTGCATAAAGATCCTTCATAAATTCGAACCTAGTAATAATAGTTGTCATGGTAGTAGTAAAGCCGATCTTCTCCTCAAAGCATATGCCACTCTACTTTGAATTCATGTCTTATGCCAAATGACAAAAGTAAACTCATGCAAATAGGATACCCACTAAGCATGCCAGTGATTTAGTTTATGTTGCCCATTAATATATTTCAGTACTTCATGATTTGAGGTCAAAATAAACTCATAATGTTGCCCAATGCCTTATGGATTGAACAATAGCATAAGACTCCACATCATATGTATAATATTGTCTTCGAGTTTCATTTAACTTCTCACTGAAGAAGGCAATGGACGCCCTTCTTGACTCAACAGTGCACCAATCCCAACATGTGAAGCATCACAATCCAGCTCGAAAACTTTATCGAAGTCAGGAAGAGCCAAGACAAGAACTTCAGTCAACTTCTACTTCACCAACTGGACAACT